AGTTGCCAGTCGGCACTGACTGGCAGATGGAACTCGGGGGAGGCCCAATCTATGTGATCTAATTGGTCGCAGGGAGGTAATTGGCAGAAGTTGCTTCCAAGTTGGTAATATATTGTTTACCAACAAATGCATAGAGTTATGCAATCCTTGACACTCAGTTTTATATTCCCAGCAATATATTAAAATATTATTTCAAAATATAATCCCAAGAATTCTTCCATTAATCTGGACTTGCTTGCACTATTAGGTTGTTAAACTCCATGAGAAAAAGAGCTACATTTATTTGACATGTAATAAGGAGGAAGTTGGAATGTGTTCAGATGATTGTTCTACCTCCTGGATTCTCAAAATCTTAAAAAGACTGTGATTCAGAATCAGTATTGACAAGGAATTTAAATTTCATAATTGAACATCTATCCAGGGCTTAAGGAGGTGGTCTTATCAATATTCTGCTTACATGGATCCAATGCCATTTTTCTATGATGCCATCGGCTTAAATTCCAATATACTGAATTTGTTGGAATGAGGAAAACCAACAAGCAAGAAGTTGAACAAAAATTAAACATAGGTGTAGCTCAGAGATGAAATGAGGGGTCCTTGGTGCTCTCTGAGTTTGTTTCCTTGCAGATGTTGCATTGTCCAAGCTAAGTATCAATATCATCATCAACAACAACTTTAACCAGACCAATAATCAAACAATACTCCAATTTATCAAAGGGATAGCTACATACAAATACAACAATTCTTGAGAAAAGCCGCGCTACAGCTGTAAAGGAAAGAATATCTCAGTCTGGACTTTCACTCCAGCACCCAATCCTCTGGACCAGTGTTTCTCAACCTTGGCCACTTGAGGTTGTGTGGTCTTCAACTCCCAGAATTTCCCAGTCAGCCATACTTGGCCAAGATTGAGACACACAGCTTTCCCTACTATCTAGACTAGAAATTATGAGTGAGATATGCATATATGTATATGGGAAACCCCCACAGTTAATTTAGATTACTTTGCTTAGGGAAGTGAGCCATGTGGCATGAGATTCTTCAGAGGCTGTTCTTTTCATGCATCAGCATAGTAATGATGACAAAAGGATACTGTGTGAGCTGTCTTGGCCTGCAGTATTTTGATTAGAGAGCAGAGCTGATATAAACCCATCCAGTTTGCTATGTTGAAAGACCCAGAGATTTTAGTTTGCTGTGTCTGACTGGCACCAGGTTAGAGAAATTGGACAGTATAATGTTCTTCAGAGGATTGTCTGCTCATTTGTTATAAGACTTCTGGAAGACTTGCACTGTGAAACAATTGGATTTGATTCCAATGACAGTCCAGACTAAAAACACACGGAGCTGCTGTATTTTAAAAACACATGGCATTGCTTTTTTAAAGCCAAGAAACAGGCAATCTGCCATTCTAGTTAATAACCATCTTTCATAGATGTTAATGTGTGGTGTTCTTTTGGAACTCTTAGTTGAGGTTATAATTACATGTATTAATATAAAAGTGTCTCTTGTCATCACCTACATAAGGGATACAAAAAGTATTGCATCCCATGCTTCCCCCTAAATCCACCCTTCAAAATCAGAAAGGCTTTTTAAAAAAAAATTGTTTGGGAGAAAATAGATGCTAGCTCCACCAATTTATAGAATATGGCTCTTTATGCACAGTGCAAGGTTTGCCAGTGATCCTTGAGCAACCAAGTTGTAGCGTCTTGATTTTAGTACATTGTAGAGTGGAATAGATTATATTATGTAGCATCTTTCATTCTCAAACAGCACGTATTGGTGATAACAAAAAAAAATTATTAACAAAACAAACCAACACCCCAGTTGGCTAAAGAAATTTTTTACAAACATTATGTTAACTTAAGCAGGCCTGATGAATTAAGCTATAGGCTACAGGTAGTCTTTAACCTATGACCACAACTGAGCAAATTTACTGTTGCTAAGTGCGACATTTTTTAAGTGTGTTTTGCCCCCTTTTACAACTTTTCTTGCCACAATTGTTAAGCGAATCACTGCAGTTGTTAAATCACTTCACAGTTGGAAGTGGATCTGGGTTTCCCCATTGACTTTGATTGTCAGAAGGTTGCAAAAGGTGTTCACATGACCCCAGGACATTGCAACCATCATAAATGTGAGTCAGCATCCAAAGGTAAATCACATGATCATGGGGATGCTGCAACAGTCATAAATGTGAAAAATAGTCATGTCACTTTTTTCAGTGTTGTAAATTCAAATGGTCATTAAGTAAGCTGCCTACCTGTATATAGCTGTATGGCCTAGCACATATTTTTAAACCTTAATAATTGTTGTGGCACAGTGGTTAGAAATGCAGTACTGGCAGGCTGCTGACTGCTATCTGCAGTTTGGCAGATTCTCACTGGCGCCAGGTTGACTCAGCCTTCCATACTTCTGAGGTCAGTAAAATCAGGACCCAGTTTGTTGGGGAAATATGCTGACTCTGTGAACCACTTAGTGAGGACTGTAAAGCACTGTGAAGTCTAAGTGCTATTGTTTAGCAACTTTAAGGTGTGAGGACATCGATGCTGGCTGCTGAATTCTGGGAATTGAAGTCCACATATCTTAAGGTTGAAAAACACTGGTCTTGAATTTTATGCAAAAGAACCAAGGTCTTTGACTTTGTCAACTAGAGCCAGATAAAGCTCTGCTGAAAGATTGGAGAATTATTGCTAGTCAGTGCTGGCAATGCAGCACTAGAGAAATGAATGGTTTGATTCAATTTGAACCAATTTCCTATGTTCTTAATCTGTGTTCCTTTGCTAAGGAAGGCATATAATCATGGTACCCCATTGAATTCAGAGTATAGGACTGCACTTTTGGTCCATGGAATGAAAATAAGTAGCAAAGGAATAGTTGTGTAAATATAACAATAGATGGAAGCTTTTTAAATCACTGTGTCTACAATATACATTTAATAGAACTGCAGAAAAGAATAAGGAAAGAGTACGTGTATATGTACAGTATGTGCGAGAGAGTAATTTTGTTTACTATTAATTTTTCTTTTAAAATTCTGACAAATACATTTTCTGAAAACTAATTAATTACTTTAATGGAACCAAAGACTTACTTTCCAAGCAATCCCATGCGTATTTTCATAAAATCAAGAGGCATTCTACTGAGTGTTGATTCAGGAAATGGTGCTAAAAGGAAAACTTTATTTTAAATTAATTATGAACACTTAACTTTTAAATTATCTATGAAAAGCAGGGAAACTGTCATATGAGATCCTTAAGGATAAAAGTATTCTAAAAGAATTTCCAGAACAATTGTGGTATTAATTTGCTGCAACAAAACAAAGCAACCTTTGCCATTTTAGCAAATGTATTACTGCACAAACCTTTTTGGTCCAGAGTTTTGCTCTATGCACCGTTGAATCCATTCTGCCTTTGGGCTGTTACTTCAGAGAAATCAAAGAAATATAAATAATGCAGACTACATAATAAATAATGTACCAAAATCCCAGATGTAATTGAAAGCATTTGAATTTAAAGGAGAACTTTCTGTCTTTCACTTCTCAGCCTTGTAGTCAAGGGAGATTTTGATTTGTGTATTTCTCATTTGGCTAGCTTAGAAATTAAGTACTTCCTTTATGCCACACGACATATAACTTAGAAGACAGTAGTTTTGAAATTATATTCGGCTAAAACAGAACAGAACAAAACTATTTTAGGCTAACAGGATTTGCATTGTTTTTCAAAGAAACCTGAAAGTCCTCCAACAGGTGTTCACTGTAGCATTCAAGAATACATTTATTTATTCAACTTGTACTGTATAGTGTCCATGTCCCCCAGAAGTGACACTAGGCAGCTTAAAATCATTAAACCATTAAAAAACTTTAAATAATATCATTAATTTAAAATTGACAAAGATTGTAAGAACGGGAACAAGATGCACATGGGAAGGAGGTTGGGTCTTATCTAATCCGTTAATCACCTCCAGAATGATGCGACCCCATTGCGACCCCAGGCCGGTTGGAAGAGCCAAATCTTCGGGTCCTTTTGGAGGGCCAAAATATATGAACTGGCGTACCTTCAAAGGACTCCTTGGTTCATCCCAATTGTGTCCTTTTCTGGACTGGGAAGCCATTTGGATTACTGCATTGCACTCCCTTTAAGTGGTCTTTGAAGTCACTCAAAAGTTACACTGGTCCAGAATGTGCCATGTTGGACATTCCTAGGTTCCCCTTTATTATACCCTGTTGCATGAACTAAACTGGCTCAGTTTCTTTTGGGGTACAATTCCACGTTTATCGCCTTTAAAGTCCTACATGGCATAGGACCAGATTATCTGTGGAAGTGGTCCTACCTGAGGCTATCTGCCCATCCCACTAGAGCAGATAGGACAGACATGATCCAGGTCCCTTCCCTTAAACATTGCTACAACATGGGTCCTTGGAAATGTTCCTGTCTTGTTGCAGCCCATCTCATGGATCACATTCCCCCTTGATATCTCATAAGCCCCCCCACCCACTCTTTTATCCTACTGAAGAGCACTTAAAACTTGCTATTTCCCTAAGTACTGAGATAGTATGAGTTCACAGCAAAATAAGAATGCAGTGGGTTCATGAAGGAATGGTGGTTGGGTGCTGGGTTTTGTTGTCCTTTTTCCATTTATAGCTGTAGATATTGTTTTCATTGGTTGCAAATTTGGTTTTAAGATGGTCAGCTATGCAAGTGTAATAGATAGATAGATAGATAGATAGATAGATAGATAGATAGATAGATAGATAGATAGATAGATAGATAGATAGATAGATAGATAGATAGATG